TTTGCTAATGAAGTTGTTTGCCGAGTTCAAATGCATTCCAGCAGACACTTGTACTTAGTAACAAGATTTGCTTTGCCATATTGAGCAGTGAGGTTTCCTTTTCTTTATGCAACGTGTGTGTGTGTGTGTGTGTGTGTGTTCTACTATACGGAACATTTTAACAAATTGCTTTCATAATTAAAACGATATTCCTTATGTGTTAGGCAGACTGAGGAGGCAGTACGTAAATTCTAACAAAAGGAAACATCATACACGCAGGTATTGACTTTGACTGATGCTTGCAAAACCATAAATTGACGAAGAGCTTCCAGGATATCATTTTAAGTTTTCATATCGTTTTATCTTGCTTGAATGTATATTCTGCATTAATTTACGAAGAAACATTTTTCATTTAAACTACAGCGAATGGCTTTTGTGTAGATGCACGCATTCGCATTTGATACAAATGTATCAATCATCCCATATTATTGTTCTAGGAAAATACCAACACTGCAACGTCAGAGTGACTTTTGCACTAAATGTAACTACTTCAAAATTAGTTCACACTCAGAAATGTCGCAGTAAAGAGTTATTTGCGGATGTATTGGTGGTCTCCCAGGGATTTCTAAACAATAAAGCAATTTTTGATACTTTTCCTTACCAAGAACACCTAGCTATATTGCAAGATGATCTTAACAGGAAACCAGGCCTTGCCAAGTAAGCCGTGCACGTATACAACAGAGTTGTTGAAAGTGCAAGTAGTTTATAGGTGCCAGAGGTCATTCATATTCGCTTTATCAAAATATGTCGTATTTTCCCGATACTACGCAAAAGCCAGTCCATTGTTGGTTCCTAGTATTGGAATAGTGATATATAGGAGAAAAAATAACAACTACTATAACACACACATACACACAAAGAACAATGTGTTTGACTTCTGGGTATAGGAAATAGGCAATTATTGATCGTGACAAATAAAGAAACTGAAAAGAAATTGTGTATAAATTGTATATCTGCCATTCTATATTTTGTTGTCCGAGTGATATATGTGCAGGAGCCACAGAAACTGTTTTTCCCAGCAAACAGATTCAATTTGTATGTACATGGATATTCAAGTCTCAAAAAGTTGCCTTTTGCTGGTAATGAATTGGAATTTTGCTTATCTAGTAAGCATTTTTTGTGGGGAAAAAGAGTCTAAGAGGATGATATTAAAGAGAGAGAGAGAGAGAGAGAGAGAAAGAGAGAGAGAGAGAGAGAGATGTGACCCAACTACTAAACCTTGATCTATTTTGACAGGCCTACAAATTACCCCATGTTATAGAGATATTGCACATTCTCCTAGACCTTTAATGTTGTGCAGTGATCTGTGTGAAGTTCATTAACAGTGACATTAGGAAGGAACAACGCTCTAATTGACTTTGAAAAAGCTCTGAATTAACAAGGGAGATACGTTTGGCGAACTGATACCGATACGTGGCAAAGCAACGGGATGTCGGTTTCAGTTCTGAACTGTGTGTTTCTCGCCCCTAAACTAGATAATTGTTACGACGCGGATGTAAGTTGTTTAATTCAATGACTGGTGGGAATTGTGGTGTAAGTTTTGTGTAGAATAGGGCCTACTGCTGTCCCATTCGGTTCTTTTCGTCAGTTTTTTTCTTAATATTTTTCTTTATAAAAAAACAAAAACGAATAAAGAAATATGGATTAATAAATCCCTCTGTACCGTGTGTGTGTGTGTGTGTGTGTGTGTGTGTGTGTGTGTATCCACAGCCGTATCTCAGATGCAGTTGGAGCTTGGTAAATTGATGGGTGTAAGTGCTAACATTCTTAATTCCAAACACAAACACACTTACGAACACACACAAGAACAAACACACACACATACACACGTAAGAGTTTAATAATTTAAGATAAATTTGTTTTGTCAGGGGGAATATCTGTGTCCCTTATTGATAGAATGTTTATGGTAAATATACATGTAATATCGTTCGTTAACTTTGCGTATAGGCGGGACATATGGCTAAAAGTGCGATTATTTCTTGCGTTTTCTTCAGGCTGCATGTTTTGATAATATAATCAATACATTCAATAAGAAAAGGAATTCAAATTAGTGAAGCGTGCATGAAAATATTCGAACAGACTATAAGTTTTTTCTTCGGTTTTTAAAGATTTGGAACTCCACATTTTAAATTCTGTTCTTGAATATTTGGTCATGTGACGCAGTTATCAAAATTGACCTCCCTTTCACTAGGATCCCTTTCTGCAGAATGCGTGGGAATAATTTTATATCTCATTGGCCTCCTGGGACTTTGACCATTTGGTTATATTTAATCAAAAATCCCTTACGGTGCTCACAAAGCCCATCAGCGTGTGGATGGTATGGTAAACGCTAACCTGGAGCGACATCTATATCAACCAAAGTATCTGAATTATGGGATTGGGTGATATATTATTCTTGTGGTTTAAGTGGAATAAGTTGTTAAGGTATTGGTACAAGTATAAAGATGACCGTGTCCACGTGGAATTTCAGAATCTGAACCGATTGTCTTATGGCTAGTTTTCTTGTATGTAGATGCCTTCTGGGCGGTTCTTCAAACACCATGGTATATGTAGGTATACTTTGTTTCATATACGCTGCATGTTAGGGGGATAAAACAACAGTGCCAAAGTGATACGACCAGGGGTAATGGACATCGTTTAGCTGTTCTTTATGCATAATTTTTAATATTCTATCATTTGCATGCAAGTTAGCATATTTTGTACAGTTAATCAGAAGTGACAGTCATATGCGCTTATCGTGACGGGGAGTAAATTGTTAAAACTCAAGATTTCAGTGTCACAGTGGTTTGCGAGGAGGGATTGGATTGGTCAAGAGGTGTAAACGCCTTAAACCTGTCTTCCGTCATATGCAATGCAAACAGTTTTGCGAAATTACAATGAGGGTTTTGATGACATAAAAATGTATGGTTCTAATTTTTCAATTTTATTATCGAAGTTTCTCTCCCCCCCCCCCCCTCCGAGGCCCTAGTAGCTGATTGAAGGATTTTAACCTATTTTGTAACTGACCAGCAAAGTCAAGAAGGGCCTCTGCTACTTTTTGGTGGACCATACTGGGCGTTTTTTTTTCTTCTTTTTATTGCACTCTGACAAGTGAACCAGAAGTGCCATGTGTATTTTGAATGTGGATTGAATTCTGTGAATGTAACCAATATCTGCATGTAGCAACGACACGCAGCATGTAGATTAATCTTGATTTTGTTATTAAATTAATGCTTTTGATTGAGCATGACAATTATATTTTCAATACTTTAAAAGTTCGCCTACATATCCTTGCAGAGTAGGTGAATGCGTGCAAGCGTGCTTGTGTTGAAAGTCTTGGAGGCCGATGAATTTGTGCGGATCAAGAGTTAAATAAATTGTTGCGTGACCAAGTTCATGCACACTCGATGATTTAAATGTGGATGAACTTGGGGAAAAATGAAGTGCCGAACCCAATGACCGGAGTTAATTGTCCTAAGAGTGTCAGTGCGCAAATACGTGATTCATGTATTCATGAGTGCTATCCACTAAGGAACGCATTGTTTTTCACTGCAGATCTTAGCGTGCGCTCTTGCCTCTCCTATTTCGAGTGCCACGAATTGACTGTTCCAAAATACGAACGTGCACATAGATACAACCCGGTGAAAAGTGAATCGTGTAGACTTGAGACTAAGCGCAACTCCCCAAAAAAATCAGCGTTTGTCCCTGCCAACATAAAGATTAGGTTAATTCTCTCCATAAGTGGATGCATTTGAATGGGGAGAAAGAGAGAGAACACATAAAAACTGAGCGGGAAAAAACACATGCCAAAGCATCGGTTCTGGTACTTCTCTCACGGCAGATTTGTTAACATCGAGGAAAACACTTCAGTTAGAAGAGCAACAAGTGAGTTTTTTAAGCAGGTTGAGTTAAGGTTACCACGTGCTTCTTGTTTAATGGAAACCAGACATACGTCTTCTGTCGTTCAATAATTGCGCATTATTGGGTGGGTGGGTATAAATGGAAAAAGCCATGTGGCAACGACAACAAAGCCATGTGGTACTCCCGCCGCAAAACGTTGGGATATCATAAGCTCACTTAGCCGTTTAAGTGACTTGATTTGGTTTGGAATTGGTTCGTAGGAATGACATACCGAAAACTAAGGGATTTTGTTTAAAAAAAACTGAAAGTTAAAGGGATAATAACTCTTCGTTTTGGCCAAAAAATGAATTTTCCTGGAGTAAACAACAATTTTCCCATACTTACCAATGGTTAATGAATCCATTTTTACATTCAAAGTTAGTCTTTGTTTTTTTTCTAAAAAGTTTGCTTTTTGTTAAAATCTCTTAAGAGATTATAACAGAGTATAGCCATCAATGGAGGTCACGTGATCTAAAGACAAGCTCAGATATCAAAATAATAGCTATAACTGCTGTTTTTATGGTAAAACAGATTACATTATATTTCTATGAGTTGTTCACAATGTTTTTATTATGAAATATAGATCTCATACGAAGAGTTATTATCCCTTTAATTTCAGCTGTAACGAATATTCTAAAAATATGAGTAAACTCCCCCGATTGGACCTTATGCGATTCATGATAATCCTTCATTTGAAAACATTCACGCTTTTAAATACTAATTACAATTATTTTCAAGCAATAATTTTCATTTCATTCCTGTACTGACCTGAGAACAAACCCATAACCCGGGTCTCTGGAAACGTCTTCGTTTTAAAGAATAGTGGATGCTTTCGCTCAATCTGCGCTGAAATTGAATTGTATCATTTAATTTGGAGGAACTAGAATTGCATTACTTGAGACCTCTCACTCTCCTTTCTTGATTTCCTGAATCTATCAATGCAAATATTTCACTTTACCAGTTGATTCCACTAAGTGCCGCACGTTCATCAGTAGGACATCTGGTTAAGTCAGTATTTGTGTGTGTGCCTAAAACAGATTCTGCTTTTCAAAAGGCCTAATGTCAAGCATGTCAAGCAGCAATTGTTTAAATATCACGCAATGTTACATATCGATTCTGTTCATACTGTAACATGGCATAGGAATGAGCAGGTTATCAACCTTTTTATTGAATTGGAATACTTTCCTGTTCAGTGTGTACTTGTGGGAAAGTACAAGCATCTAAATGGCAGTTCACAGTATTTTTATGAAAAGCAAATTCAGACGAAAACCTACATCATGCCAATAGGTGAATGGTGACTCTGAAACTGCAAAAGCATATAACATGGTGGATGAATAAAGTGGACTAGCATAAGTAAGTTAAACAATAACCCAAAATTAATTAAACTCATGTAAAACGTGATATATAGCACTGGACATATACAGTCGATACCATTCAACACCTTATGTAGTCACATTTGAAAGAACAGAAAAAAGTATAACAACACAATATTTTACGGTTTAAATGTATGACCAACTTGAATACAAAACCCTTTCTTTATAGCTTACTGTATTTAGTTTATATCTATTCACAACAAGCGGCCAAAGCCGTGAAAAGTGTTAGCACCACATTTATGTACAGTTAAGGCATCTGTGTATTTGCGGCAAAGAATAAGAAAGGGTTAAAAGACGCCAGTCCTTTTGCCTCTTTTGTGTCAAAGAGCTCATTCAGAACAAGTTGGTCCGGGAACTAAATATGGCTGATCCACATAAAATCGACACCGCTAATTCCCTGACTGTCTCCGCGTCATCACACGCCATCGCTGCAGGGGTCTAGCAATTAAAACTCAAGCCGAGATTTAATCCGCTTAATGGTGCGTGTGGAGGCGCGGAGACCATCAGGGGATGAGGACAGCTTGCTTTTATGTGGGGTCGGTCATATTTTGTCGGGGAATCAGGTAGTCTGCGGATCATCTGTTCCGAATGCGCTCGAAGATACTATAAGATCAACTGCGTCCACAGTTATAAAAACATTGTAATGGTTTAGTCTTAAGGCTCATTTCAATTGACACTGTCGGTCTACGTAGATTGCTCCAACTCCGAGATGATCATTCGACTCACGCTGAATGTAGGCCTACTCAGTTTAACAGACTAACACGCCTCCTATTGTTTCCAATGTACTCGTATCATCACCAGGTTTTCCATGTTCTACTCAACGCCAGGAAGAGGTGTGTTCTCATGCCATAATGACTGCATTCAGCGAGAGTCCCCGAGGAGTTAGATAGGTCTACGTAGACCGATAGTTTCAATGGGAATGAGCCCCTAAAGGCAGTTAGCACAAGGTTTACGGTGTAAATGGGTTATCACTATTTTTTCAGAAAAGATAACAATTACTAGAGTATCTACTGCATTTCAGGAGAGTGGGGGCCTATTTTCTTCGTCTGATAGCTGTAAGCAAAGAAAAAGTTGGCATGAGGTACACATATGTGAATTGAAGTGTTTCAATCACTTATTAGAACAAGAAATTGCGTCACAACAATCTAAATTGTTGCAAAAAGACGTTAATGGAAACAAATTTTAACAGCTAAGGGGACTGCGGTGTCAGTTAATTTTTCAATCAATCCAAAGTACGAGATAAATTGACGTATCAGTTCTTTCTAAGTGCAAAAAAAAAAACATAACAGAGATTTTGATCGTACAGAGAGAAAAACAGACCCTTAATCACACAATCAACTCAAAGTACAAGGCGAAAATAGAAAAGGTTTAGGCCCCATTCCCATAAACAACATTGGTCTACGTAAATCGATCCAACTCCGCTGGAACTCTCGCTGAATGCAATCTGTATAACAAATTTACATGCCTTCCTCTGGCGAACAAAGTAGAACAGAAAAGCTGGTATTTATATGAGTTTCGTTGAAAACTAAAGGAGGCGTGTCATTCGGTAGAGCTGATTGCACTCAGGGAAAATCCCTGCAGAATTGGATCGATCTACGCAGACCGATGGCGACTGTGTGAATGGGACCTTAGTCACCCTTTTGCTTTATGTTCGGTGTCATTTAGTGTTAAAAAGGAAACGGTAGCTGATAAGTGCAACAAGAAACAAAGTGACAGACCTGATGGATTCTATGGCCTCAGCATGATAGATGTTGAACGATAGAGATTAAATAGCACACAGGCGAGGGGTATGGATTAAGAGCGTTCAAATCAATTTTAAGTTGAATGCAAATGTAGGTTAACTAGGTGGATTTTTTTTTGTGTGTAAGTGCATTTAGCAGTAAAAAATGCCCTGCGTGCTCAGGTAGCTACCTGCTGTGAGGTTTTAAGAATATTTTGTGCCAAAGTTATAGAAAGCACATTGTTTGATAGGGTTACTATCTACAGGTACCCAGTTTAATATATTTTTCTTTTTTTTTTTGAAATGAAAATAAAGCTAAGTTGTCTTTTTTTTCAGAATTGCTTTTTTAATATGTGCAACTAAATATTGTAGGTGTTGAAAGGCTTTTTCAATTAGATACACGATGGTGTTTTAAGAGAAATGATACCCAAAACACAAAACATAATTAGATATCGAAAACGCGTTAGTCTTCTTCGTCGAAGGTAGGCGTTTCAAATATATCAATTTCTGCATCGCATAGTGTTCCAGAAAAAAAATCTTTATCGCAGCCCAATATCGACTGCTAAGTAATGGACCAGATATAGCATGCCTTGATAATGAATTATTACATGACAACGATTAACCCATTAAACCATATACACTCTGATGTCAGTTATTCAGTTTTATCTGGGTTGCACGACACCAAATGGGATATTGTATTTGCTATCTATAGAGTGGTGTATATAAAAAGGTTACCGTGGCAGCAAAGTACCCGGTAGCACTTACGGAGTTTAGAAGAAGCAGAGCGCACTGGTCGATCTTCCTAAGTGAAGACAGTATGATAAATTGACCAAGCGTGCATCTATTTTAAAGAGAGATGAAAGGATACCTGGGAAAGATATCTGAATAGACACGGCATTATCTCATCAATCACCGTGTGTAAAAGCTATGATATCAACTTTAGAGTTAAAGAATTACATCTGAATGCTCTAAACGTAGGCTGTATATACGTAACGGTTGGCCAGGAACAGTAATCTCGACAACGACGAAAGAATCGTTAAAGCTAAATAAGCACTGCCTGGCTTGTGTTCTTGTACCATCATTTAAGAATAAGGCGGACCAGCTACGCATAGCAAAGCAACAAATATTTCAGAATATGACTTTTAGGGTTCAAAATAGATAAAATATTCAACTATTGCTCCGTATGTGGGATGTTTCACTTGTCCCAAGGCATATGGTTACTGCCAACGACGGTGTCAATTCCATTTTAATGTGTATCATCATCGCCTACTACCTCCCCGACAGTAAAAAACGACTCACAAGCCCATTAAAAGAACATATGATGATTTATAGTATACTCTTAAGTCGTTCGTTTCTTAGCGCCATTAGACAACTGCTCTTAATTTCCAGTTAAGATAGTTACATGGCTTTTGGAACAGCGATATACCCGATTGCGTTAGTAAACATTCCCCGTGAATGTTAAAGTACGTTGCATGGCTCTGTGGATTCAGCAGCTTTGGTGTCATGGGAAATTCATGGGTTCTGTTGTCATTCGTGTATTGCACTTTGCTTACCAAAATTTGTTATTTTGACACAGATTTGCATTGCGTGTGTTCAAAGACAGGGATTATAAGACAATGGAACTCGTTCTAGATCTAGAGCGCCTGTTTGACGACACTTGCACGTCTTACTGTAGTGATCACGTGGTCGGCCACCCAGCAGTTCAGTTTGAACCTTTAAAGGTACATCCGAATCGAGTGTCGGTGGAGCGTGGATTCCCAGTAGTACATATAAACCACTTCCACTCGTTGCTTATACGACTCAAATAAATTCGACATGCCAAGGAATAAACTGGAAAGATCACTCGATCAGCCATAAAAGACCTTTAGACTGCTCCTTTCTTTAAATTTTTGGTCCGAAATTTAACCTTCTTTCGTGACCTACTTTTCTGCCCCATTGACATACAGCATAGAATGCTAGCAGAAAAATCCGTTCAAACATCATTTTCGGGTAAAATTAAACAATGCCCTTTGGTAATTCTCTTAGTTATACTACTTTAAAATGTATGTTGGCATTTGGTCGGTTTTTGTGGCAAAAAATGACTTTGTATGCATCTTTAAATAAGAGGACTGATCATATGAAGGAAAATGAGCTTCTACTTGTATATGACAGGCATCATACAGGTATTGTGCCTGGCTCCACATGCTCTTAATTTAGTTGTTATTAAATATGCAAATTCATCGGAGACTCTTCTCAATCCAAACGTATCTAATCTTATGGAACTTCGCACTATTGAATTGCGAGGCAATTAAGCTTTAGTGTTTTCGGACGAGTATACAAATGATTAAAAACTTTAAAATTATTTTCAGTATGTTTAAACCAATAACCATTTGGATAAACCTATTACCCTTAGGCTTATTAGCAGTAATTTGAGATATTTGGAAACTGTTTTGGCGTTAAGGAATAGATTACTAGTTAGATGTACATAGAGCGTCAGCATCACTGAATGCAATGCGATTTCATACTGATACCCAGTGTAGCTAATTTTTTTTTTTTTTTTTTTTTTTTTTTTTTGAAAGGACGTTTTGGATTCCAGTATGATTGCATTAGAAGTACGGTCAAATTAAATAAGTGACATTATTGGACGGTAGTTGCAATTTAGATTACCAGAAGATAGGATACTCATGTAGCTAAAGGTCATAGTTGTCAACGCAAAACGGAATATAACAGAATCTCCCATCCGTTTATCGTGGTACGTAACACACCCGGCCACCAGAAACCCTGTGTCTCAGAATGTCGATTTAAATGGACAAGACAGGTATACTATATTAGATATATTGAAGGTTTTTATATCGCACACTGAATATCAGGGTACAAAAAGTTTCATGACGGACAAATACATAAAAAAGTCCCCCCTTCTGTTGAAAAGAAAAAAAAATGGGTTTATCAATTTATATTGCTTTGAAATCCACTGCTCTCCAAGCGATATGCCTCTATCAGATGAGTTTCCCTCGGCATTAAGTAGTACTATCGAATAAATTCCCCCTACAGCAATAGCCATAATTCAATACAAGTCCAGATGCAGACAGTGATTACTGCAGATTCATGGTAATTGATTCCGTCAATCTAATTGTTAATCTTATTGGCGTGGGTGCCTGTCTCCCCGATTCAGATGTTTATACATTTGTAGAACGGTAAAGAGATTCGTTCTGTAGTTCATTTCTTAGTTGATTGTTTGGTCCAATTGTGCAGTTACGCATATGGCAATGAAGCAGCGTATTTATCATTTTATCTGGCTGTATGAAGCCAATAGAAATATGTTTGTAATGACGCTGTTTGCATTGCGTCTTTGATTCGGAACTCAATAATTATGTGATTGGCATAGAGGGTAATTTGAAAGACACAGATTATTTGATAATTGCTCCTCAAAAATGAACAAACAAAAATTAAAAAAAAAACATTATGATTCGTTCTTATAAGCAATCCACGTATGGTCCTACTTGTATAAGACATACGCCATGGTTACCAATACCATGATTTAACAAGATTTAGATCAGATCTACTGTCTTGCGAAGGTGGACGGGTGGGGGGACCTGGAACAGAAATAGAAAAAATAAAGGAAGGCGATGCGAGGAAACTTAGAAAAAAAGAGGGCAATTTTATCACGATACAAGTTAGTTATATGGATATGGCAGTGGTTAGACTTTGACGAAATTCACCCTTAACCGTTTTTAGGAGGGGGAGAGATCGAAATATGCCCTCCCTCCCCGAAATGGTCATTACATTGTCCATTTGCAACTGCAGTTATCTACAAGTCGGGCAGCCATTTCTTATGTGGGCGCACGGCTCCATGCATCTATGCTCTAGTTAACTCCATTTTATGGAATTATGCCCCAGACAAGCGACTCTTCATATCTTTTCTGGATGAGTAAATTCCCATCATGCCAGTGCATTGATTTGTGCCTCTTCTTATCGATGTCTTTATAGTCAAATTTATTATAGAACTTCTCATCAATAGATGGTGGTAATTTCGAAATATCCCAAAGGTCTCTGAAGGGCAGTTAGATTTTGTTAACGAAATCCAGATTGATGTCCGCAGATACGAGTATACCCCGGTGAGACTAAAGGATCTTTCACAGGAAGCGTTTTGTCTTAGCGATATAACTGTATCGGTATGTTTTGATGGACTGACAACTGAATAGACTGCAACTAGCTATCACGTAAATAGTTCAACCCAACGGAGTTTCTTCGCTCTTCACGGCTAACTTATCAACTTCGATTTCGTCAAAAAGCGGTAAGCAATCTTGTAGAGAACTTGCGAAAGAGAGTAGGTCCCCTGTAGTGATTATATATACCGATGTGACGTGATTGGTAGTCTGCTAGGAACCTTAGTTCCTTCCCCATTACTTCGTACAGGTGGTATTCGTCCCATGTACTAACCCTGATACTCCGACTAACCCTTATCTGTACTAAATCATAGAGGGGGGCAGGTACAAGTATTATTGTTTTCAGAGCTCTCTCGTTTCAGATGAGGTGAAGACCCTGCTTCGTGAGTGCTACCTTTACTTACGTGATTGGAAGTGAGGTTCTAAGTGACTTAAGTGCTACTAGACTGTACTAGTTGTTGTTGACTGAAAGCACATTAAATCAATATGGCAAGAGGGATTCGATCAAATCTGTTTATATCAGCATCGATTTGCATGATAAATGAGGAAACTATTTCTGTCAAACTCAGATGTTTATCTTTATTTTTAATGTTATTCCAGATGATTTAATCAAAGTCCCTCAGTTTTCAGGGGAGTGGGATTACTAAAAGTAAATTTTCCTTTGCAAAATTATGGTATTTAAACAGTATTTTAATTTAAACTCTATTTTAATTCACAAACATTGTAATTGAAATTGTTAAATGCATCATTGTATATATGGACCGGTATAATGAAACAAGAAACACCCGTAATAGCATTCGTGGCTGTTTTCTTCTTTCATTATAAGGCGCAGAGTAGTAACAATTATTCCTTTATGTTTTTTATTTCAGACGAAATTGGACGTGCTTCTCAAAGAACACTTTTTCATTGTCTGATAGTGTGATCTCCCAGACACGTCATCTGTATCAAGCATTCGGAATGATAAAGTGGAATATACTGCGTAAACAACATGTCGTCTGCAAAACACAATTGACCTCGCGTGCGTGACAAGACCGCTCCGAAGAAACACTTACGTAAGAAACTGGACATCAAATTTGCTGCGATTTGCACGGAACGAATAATTGATTAGTAAATCTATCATATCCGATGCTCTGTCGAGATAGAGAAATTTGATTTTGTCCTTTTTCAATAACGTAGTCTATATGTGGAAATCCATTTCAGTTCCCCTGGGCACTGGGCGGAGATTCGGAGACCAAAATTGCATAACCCCGGGATTGGATTTCAAAAATGACCATCACTGAACAACTCCCCAGAGATCCTGTAACAAGATTTTAAGCTCTGTCCAGTATCAAAATATACATTTCTTGTCACAGTGGACTCTCTCGCTTCCAGGAATGTAGAATAAATGGCATAAAGCACTTGCTAATGAAAGCCGCAGGACAGAGATCTTCGGAAATGGACACCATGCAATGATGCCGCTTGTGCCAAAGTGGCTGTTTTTTTCATCACTGCGCATGTCGCTGGAAAAATTTTGATGTTCCACAAAATGCCGTTTTTTTTTTCATATGACATACTATACAATGGATTTGTAAGATGTTGAATACGACCGACAGCGAGTATCATCAAAGTGACTTGAGTTGATAAATGAGCTATTTGACCAGAATACGAAAGTGCTAATATGAGGAAAACTCATCGCGCTTGTCAGAGATTACTGGGATATAGCAGCCGGTGTTGAAGTGGCGGTTTGACATTTTTGACCATCAGCCGGGACCAATACTTCGCCATTCTAGTGTACATTAGGTTACAAACAGCTGTTATTTCGGAAGCAGTCTTCAAGGACCCTGACGTTCAATACACAAAATGCTTTCGGAGTAGACTGCGCATTGGATGAAATTTTACCGTTTAATCCAAGACCAAGTCAGCTACAAAATCGTCTAAAAGACAAAAAATCTTACTTTTCTTTAATTTTGCACTCCCCAGGGCTGTCATTCACAGGGAAACTATTCCAAGAACTAGGAAGCTGCCTGGAAGTACGCTCAAGCATTGAGTTAATGCAAACGCAGTGTTTTGGAAGATACTGCTAAAGTTTCGCACTGCATTATTTCTAAAGAAAGTGCTGTATAGTGAAAAGAGCTACATCAAACAGGATGGCAACCCAATAGGAAGAAGTGAGTACAATACACAAAGGTTCCTGATATAATAAACGTAAGAAATAAACTCAAGCAAAACATAGGAGAGGATTGTGTAAAATGACAATTACCTACGATATTACTTACGATATTTGGATGCAAACTCGGACATCGTCCGTCGCGCCGGCATTTAATTAGTTCAAACGATTTGCTTGACCCGAACTCCGTCTCACAATCGTTTCTAACAGCGGATGCAATCAGGTCGATCAACCGTTTAATTTTAATTCATTACTTTTTTATTGCTTCCTCTGAGATTAAAAGAAAACCTGGCCGAAACGACGATCTGTTTATGTCGAACTAGACTTCTGCGTGGTCATAAAGTGCATTTGAGTTTTTACTGCCCTCATAGGGTTAACCTGAAACACGATTGCGACGTAGCGGCACCAATGACGTGAAGCCATCTGGGCTTGCAGAATGCAGATCTCTGTGCGTCGTGGATGAACCAGGCCGATGCGTGGTTATCTTTTTGCTTGCCTTGTTAGATAAATCTGCTCAGCCGCCAGAGTTTACGTCTATCTGTGGCCTCTTCGAGTTGTTATGTGACATAAATGATGTGACATTTTGGCAAGTTTGACAGCAATACGTCAGCTTGCGGAACTCAATCAAAATAGCAATTTGTATTAGTTCGGGGGCAATCAATAATCTAATTTTTTTTTTACTCGATTGCGCCCTGGTACTAAATTACACGTTTGATCACAAAGAAAAAAAAATAACTCAAGATTGCGGAAGTATTGAAGGATTTACAATGGAACCAGGAAACGCAACAGATATGGCAAGCAATGCGAGCGTGCTTGCTCATATGTCTGGAAGTTTAACGTTAAGGGAAGGGTCCAAACTCGAGCACCCTTGGCATGGTGTTGAAAGTACATTAAAGGAGGACCAATATCACCATGTGACGTATACAGATGACGTACACAGTGACGTGTACAACCACACCCACGTCCTGTTAAGCACAGGGGGTGACATAGCAATTCCAACAGGAAGGATTTTGGTCGCTTCATTGTTGGGGGTTATAATCATCGCGACCATATTTGGGAACTCGTTGGTCCTTCTGTCAGTTGCGTTTTTCCGCAAAATGCGGACTCCTACGCATTTGCTCATAGCATCCTTAGCAACGGCGGATTTTATGGTCGCTCTGCTTGTGTTACCAATAAGTTTATACCACGAACTTGTAGGGGTCTGGAACCTTGGTCCTATAGTATGCGACTTGTGGTTAACGCTAGACATATTCTGCTGTACGGCAAGCATGTGGAATGTTTGTATTATAGCTTTGGATAGATACTGGAAGATCACTAAGGACGTTGGCTATACGCATGCAAAGACATTTGCCAGACCAAAAGTGTGTATCATCATGGTGATCACGGCGTGGACGATGTCCGCGGTTATATCGACGGCCCCGTTGTTCGGGTGGTACACCGGAGTTGAAAAACAAAACCCCATGCTGTGCATGGTCAGCCAAGACATTGGTTACACAATTTTCTCAACAATGGGTGCTTTCTACATCCCCAGCGTTGCTATCATTGTGGTCTATGTGCGGATTTACAAATTTGCCATTAAGAGACTACAGGAGCGTGCAAAAGTGAAGAAACGCGACCGGAAGAAATTTGCGAAACTTTACGCGTCCAACACGACCAGGTTTGTCGACAATTCCAACGAGACGAGCGCCATTGAGAGCACCTACGTGACAGAGGGTATCATGACAAACGGAACGAACATGCGTCCCTTAAAGGCACGTTCCAACGATCGTTTAAGACGCTCCACGACTATGTTAGGGGCCATCATTGGTTGTTTTGAGATATGTTGGCTGCCGTTTTTTCTCATTGCCCTCATAACGCCCCTATGTCCTCGTTGTCATGTTCCGAATATCATATACAGCATCGTCTTGTGGTTGGGATATCTGAATTCTTTACTAAATCCGGTTATTTATGCCGTTTGGAACAAGGAATTCAGAGGTGCTTTTAAACAGATTACAAGATGCAATTTGAAATAATATGATGAGACAGGCCATTTTGTTATGCATGCAAGAATGGAGTCGGCATGATGACTTTTATTGACTATTTATTTTGCTAAAAATAGATGTTCAATTTTTTAAATGCAGTGTTTGCATTTTTTATTAATTTCATTGAGACATTCTAAGTCTATATGGAAAAAAAATTAAATTCAGTGCATTTTAATAGCGAACAATCGATTGCAAAAGAAAGTAAATGTAAAATGCTAAGAAGCTGATTAACTTTTACTTGATATTTGTTTTTATATTAAAAAATATGTATAAATGGAAGCTGTAGTTATAAAATGCATAGTCTGAACACCAAAAGTAGTTCATTTATTTTTTTTCTGCCTATCATCTAGTTCAATGGACTGAATAATGAAGCCTAGGTTACACATTCATACGTCATTAATTTCAGTTGAGAAATACGATCGGTTACGGCACGAAACAAAAGTCATTATTGTGTTGAGAGTTTAGTGTTATCCGGAACACACCATAGACAAACCTCATGACCTCCTGTCTCTTGACATTTAAGGACAGCTCTTAGCTTGAAATCGTGCACGCTACCGTGACGAATGAGGTCGAATAAAACATTTTTCAATTAAATGTACTATCGATCCTCAATAAACCTTGGATGTTTGTGATTCAGAGATATTACATGCTAGTTTAATATAAAAATAATTTGAGAGTAAGTAAATAAATAAATAAATAAATAAATAGAAAAATAAAAGTTTTCATAATAGACAATTGCAAAATGAACGATACGAACATTTCGGATCGTTTTCATTATCATTTCCAGATTTATTACGATCATCGCTGTCTGGTGTTTACAATTATTTAACCTGCCAAACCCTTTATTGATTAAACATAATGTACCTCACTGGCGTGCTTGCTCACTGTCCAGGACCACGAAATCAGACCGTTTACAAACTGGACTCGGGTGATTGACATCTTAACTTGGGTTGATTGACCTCTTGGCTCAGGGTGATTGACCTCTGGACTCAGGGTGAATTATATCTGGACTCAGGGTCATTGACCTCTGAAGTCAGGGTGAACGAAATCTGGACTCGGTTGACTGAAATCTAGACTCAGGGTCATCGACATCTGGACTTGGTGGATTTGACATCTGGACTAGGATTAATTGACATTTGGAATCAAGTTGATTAAAATATGGACTTGGGGTGACTGACATCTGGATTCGAGGCGATTGAGATCTGGACTTGGGGTGATTGACATCTGAGTTTGGAGTGATTGACTTCTGGACAAGGGGTGATTTACATCTGGACTCGGGATGATTGACATCTAGACTTGGGGTGATTGACACGTGGGATTTCGTAATATTCGGTTTTTGTGTCTTATACCGGATTTAATACGCAGACGGGAAAATCACTAAATTGGGACGCACTCGGGTTTTAAAAGAGATATAAACAATATGTTGTACATTATTGAAGAACATTTTTCTTATTACAAGGGGAGTGATGTCTGATCTGTTTTTATGTATGGTCCTTAAAATGTATCTGTGGTAAAAAAAATATACAGGATTCATCACGACAAACACATGCTCATAGTTCTCATTTGAAAAGAGATTTCTTGTAGTCTTTTAGTCCTGATACTTACCGTATTGAACACCTCTGGGGTATGGAGTGCGTGATTGTGATAAGAAACTACCTGCCTAATAATCTGGTTCACATCCGCCTTGCTCTCTACAAAGAATGGGGCAATAAAATTCCCACAAATTAAACTTTTGAGCCTTGTTGAAAGCAAGCCGTTAGACACACGCAAGTAGACCCGCGACTTTCAAAGAGCACATTCTGGTGCTAATTGAATAAAATGTCTTGATATTTGATGGTGCCATTTCAATTTTATGGATATATTTACCTCAATGGCAATCACTGCAGAAGATCAGGTTTGAGTGGGAGGCTTTTTTTATAATATGAAAACATGGTATAAAATGCCCGTCTTAATCATTGTTATTTTATTCCTCTGTACTGATATGAGGTACGAGAGATCTTCCAATCGAACAACATCCCACTCAACCATGCATTCCAGCTCTCCGGAGACAGAAAACTCCAACTCTTTCTCACCTCGACATCCTAAACGGTACAAGAAGGATGAGAAAAACTGATATGAGATATGGTATCTTGAAAAAAAAATTATTTGAGACAGTTTACAACTTTGAACTGGGAGAAAAAATATCCCCATTCCCCGCGTAACCCAGATCCCCCCCAACACACACACACACACACACACACACACACACCGCGTCTCCAATCATAAATCGCACTGCTGTAATTATTCAATCATTATTTCACTGTATTGACTAAGCATGAGTAAAGATTTAAATTAAATGACATATCTAGGGACAGGGATGTATTAGGGGATTACTATAAAAATTGCAGTTTGCTCATTTTTCATTGTAGTTCTTAATAGGGAAGAGACCCAGTATGTGTTTAAAAGAGTGTCCACACGCATTCTGCCCACCTTACCTTTTTGCATCACAAAAGATGCCTCATCAAGTTGAGAAACAAGAATGTTCCACCATTATAATGCATCCTCCTACGGCCCTTCCTACGGTTCAGACACGATATGTTTTTGTATATATTTCGTTATTTCTTTTTACCCATGAAAATAAGGATAATAAGAATAATTCACAGTATTTTACTCAGAAAGGTGCAATAGCACATTCTCTTCCAATCTTAAAAACGCGAAATAATCCCGACTTTACCATAAAATTAAAAAAAGGAGGACCACGTTCCCTTTTCCCCCTTCTATTCTAACCCTCTTATAGCTTCATACTTGGATACAGCGATGTACTGTCTCACCTGACACATTTAGCACAATGTGATACCCAAATACATCCCACCTCCCATCTACTGGCTCTCCTGGCGCAATATACGCATTCACGTGTCATAATAATAATAATAATAATAATAATAATAATTAGATAGATAGATAGATAGATAGATCCTTCTTCAATTTTAAGAATATCTATTAAGGCCCTACACAGCAAGTACTACCCGGTACGAAAAGCACACACGTTGTATAGAAGTAGTCATACAACTCAAGGAGAGAAAAGCTTTATAGATTACACCATATTCACTTTACTGATAGCACAAAGCCGGTCATCTGTGATGTAATCTAACCTTTTCCCCTTCTTTAGCAGGAAGCGGTTCGCCTTCATAGGTTCCAACCCTAAGCTACGAACATGCATTAGAGTAAGCAAAACACACGCCCCAATCAGGCATTTATATACACATTCGTTACAGACATGTAAATATCGCGAGGAATTAAATCCTCCCAAAATGTTGATACCTGATAATATCAACACTTAATCCCCGAACTCATTTGATGCTGTAAACACGGACATGGCTAGACAATACATTGATTCAATCAGCAATATTGCATCCGAACATTCTTCGGGGAGACAATTGATGAAAGATAAAGGTTGCGCTTTTTGTGGCCAAAAGATAAAAAAGAGAGAAACAATTGCAAGGCTGTTAAAGTTGATTTCGTGCCTGACAATAGCCAACACATACCAGCTTTTGGTAAGTTCGTGCATCATATATTACTGTTAAGGTAAAGAGATAAATTAATTACTGCAACAACAAGTGTTACTATTTACGATGGTGTTGTGCCCGCCTGAGCGGTAGGGCGTGGGTAAGCCTTAAAATTCAAGTTAAAGCTTATACTAGCTGCTGCCATTAATTCCTTCTGATAAATTTCAAAAGGCATTAAATAACCACTTAACAAAAAAAAAAAAAACTTTAATACAATGTCTTTAATGACAAAAACCATATAATTGAACAAACGTTGTTTTTTTAAATAAAGTTACAAATAACAATATTCACCGTCATTTATTTGTCATGGTAATGGACACAATTTCATCCCTTTTTATTTTTTTTAGAAAGTTACTTTGTTTGTTACCATTACCAACAGTTAAAATCCTATATAATTCAGCTCTCTCGTAAACATCACAATAAAAATCGATGTTTCACAGATTTCACTTTTCTGTTTGAAAAGAAATTCTTTTCGTCGCTGACACAATCAATACCCTTGCTCGTATCACGCGAGATTATGCGAGATTATGAGTGAACAAATGCTTCCTTGCCACTTCCCTGGATTTCCCTAAACGCACCCTTAGCAAAATGAAAAGTTTGCAGCAAACTTGCAAAAAATTTGCAGCAAATTTGCTGCAAACCAAATAGTTTGCAAGAAACTGTTTGCAGGTTGTTGCAAGAAAAATCACAGTTGTTGCAAATTTGCTGCAAATTTGCAGAAAGATTAAAAGTTTGCAGGTAGTTCGCAAGAAAACTATCATTTTCTAGCAAATTCGCAGCAAATTTGCAAGAAAGCTTCTATTTTCTTGCAAATTTGCAGCAAATTTGCAAGAAGACCCTCATTTACATAAAAGTTTGCTGGATGTTTGCAAGAAAGACTATACAGTGTTGCAAATTTGCAGCAAATTTGCAAGAAACTGCTCATTTACATAAAAGCCTGAAGAAAGTTTGCAAGGATAAATATACCCTGTTGCAAATTTGCAGAAAATTTGCAAGAAAACCTTCATTTACATAACATTTTGCAGGAAGTTTGCAAGAAAGACTAACATTGTTGCAAATGCAGTAAATTTGCAATAAACTCCTCATTTACATAAAGGTTTGCAAGAAACTCAGCTTTTATACACACCAAGTT